ATATATATAATATAATACTTCATATAAAACTTGTAACATATTATTTTTTCAGCGCTGTTGTAAACAAATTGCAATTGTTTCGTTAATTGTCATACTTACACTACGGACAAAAAATGTAAATTTAGTTGTTTGGAAACAAGCAAACAGTTTTGTCGAGTTGAAACACAAAGAAATATTAACATCAAAGGCACTTGGTGGCCTTAGTAGACCTATTCCTAAGAAATACTTGATCCTAAGGACCTAACTTCGTTTACAACATATCAAAAATGAAAAATGTGATGTCTTAGGTAATCGGTAGTTGTTCGTCGGTATCGTTAAGTTTCGGCGACTGGTTTTTTCAAAATAAATTAGACTTCGGTCTTCATAAGTGTAATTTATGTACGCGTTTCGGGTTACAGCAGAGTGGGGTCGGGTTTTGCTGGCGATTTTGCATTATATCCACTTTACAGTGAGCGGAAGCCTTGGGGTTAGGGTATTTCGGGAAGTAAAGAATAATGATCATGCACAGAGGAGAAGGAGAGGGAGAAGCCATAAGAACAGCAGAGAGCAAAATACGTTGCAGACCAGGCACGACCAAGCTGAATATTACCATTTCCCAGTCTGGACTTCACCCTCCCCCACCCCCATTTGATTTCTCCACCGTTGTTGAACACACACCCCCTTATATGGCGTCGGTTGCTCTCTCTAACGGACACACATGTACCGGATGAAAACCCATTACAACTCCAACGAGGGGGGGAGGGTGTGTCTAAAGTATTTTTCCTCTATACGTTCTTGGCGCGGGTAGGAACGCACTGCGTGTAGATGATTAATTAAGGGACTGCCGGAATCGTGGGGTGGGGGGGGCGTGGGAGGTCGGGGAGTAGGCGGTCTCGAAAGAATTAATCTTTGTTAGGCCCAAAGTCGGCCCGAACCGTGTGTTTAATCTCTTGGACGAGTATAAGAACAACAACGGCGGCCGCACACGCAGTCGAAGACCGCAAAAAAGTTTTTTTATTTTTTTTTTTAAAAATCGTTTATCTTTTTTTTATACCCCAAACAGCCCGGACCGGCTTAATTACTTTTTTTTTTTTTCTAAAAAGTTGCTGGCAACGAAAAATTACTTTTTTTTTCAAACAGCCCTCGCCGCCCCCCTGTCCGTCGTTATCCCGCCTCCCCCTTCGGGGATTCAGGTTATCTGACACTCTCAGATGTACCTAAGTGTGCACACAAAATATAATATAATACAGTGAAAAATATACACATATTATACGCATAATTATTATTGTTGAGCTATAATAGAATTGGCAATATTTTTGGGCAATGAAATAAATAAAATGGCAATTTAACGCTTGTCAAAATATTAAGTATATCAAACCTGTTGTCTTAATATAACATTAAATATGATGTATCGTTAAAATTAAAAATGTATCTTAAAACAGAATGTTCATAACTTTAAAAGCTCATTACATTTAGCTAATTTTGTAAAGGAATTTGAATAGTAATATTACATATTAATTTAATAATGTAATAAAAAATATGAGACAACTTTAGCTGTATAATAATATATTTTATAATATTTGTTATAATATTTTTATATCATATATTGGCAGGAAGTCAAATATTAAGAACACACATGTTGTACTATAATAATTGTAAGTATTATGCAATACGATAAACCAATAGTTTTCTAAAATAAATATATTATTATAACAATGTAATTATTGTCCACCAAACCTCCACAAAACGTTTAGAAAATATTATCATTTGAGTATAATTAAAATTCAAGTGAATAGACAATTTCTTACTATACATAAAGTATAGTAAAGACAACATCAAGAAAAGTGCTAGGAGTAGACAAAACTTATGAGTTCAACCCAAGCATTTCAAACCATTTTGTAAGAAAAAATGTCAGCACAAACATTTTAATGTTTTAAAAATATGTTACACACATTTACCAACCAGCGAAACATGAATGTCTTACATGTCATACATTTTGCAAGATATGTTTCGAACATAATTCAAATATTGTAAATATATCAACAAAATGTCGTTATTGGAAGACGACAAAAATAGGGTAAAATACAACAACCTAAAAGAATTAAACTACAACAAGCAGGCGTGAAGAGCTGTCAAAAACTTATCTAAGATTTAATAATGTTGAGCAGATCATATTTTTCAATGAAATATAATTAAAATATTAAAAAAATACAACACTGTAGTGTGTAATACTGTGCTGTGTGGATAGTAGAGTTATTATATTAAGGCACGAGAGTTGTGAATTTCCAGAGTTAAGTACGATTTTCAGTGTCAGAAACAAGTTTATTGATTTTTCTCTTGTCTAGAGCTATGTTGTTCAATACAATATAATAATTAACTACGTACGACCAGCACACGATTTAACCGAATCTTTTTGTACGGTTTTATGACTTCGACCCGTGTCATTCTGCTGTACAACGAATGAGTATAAATAAAAAAGTAAAAAAAGGAGTGTAGTTGTAATTTGCAATCTCGTTTCCGTACAATGCATTAGTGAATCGCCATCGCATCCGTCGATTCAACGTCCACCCTCGCCTTTTTTTTTTTATTCCTTTCTTTTCACGAGCAACCCCTTGACCGCGGATTGTCTGCCCCACCACCGTGGCCTTTGCGCGGAAAGCTCATTGCCTTTTCACCGGAGCTTCCACGGCCGTCCTTTAATTTGCATAATGCTCTATGAGTGTAATAATTCAATTACACGACATCGGGTTGCCTCGGTACCTATACATTATGTATATACCTCTTTCTCTCTTCTGGTCCGGTCTGGGGGTTTTTTTTTCGTTGGTTTTTTGGCTATGCTCGGTGGTTTTTTTTTTCCAACTCGGACCGACCAATCTAATCTAATCTAATATATTATTTGTGTACACGTCGAGAGGACGCGGTGCGCCGTAGAAATTAGACTTGTTTACTTAGTATGCGATGTTAACGGGTAATACAGCGTTTAATGTATAAGAGGGGAATACGGTAGTAGTATAATATAATATGAAAAAGGATCCACTCAATTTTGCCAGAAGTGCCTCAAGATAACCCGGCACGCCAAAGGGTTTTGTTTCGTAGCCAACAAAAAGGGTTTATCTCTTTCTGTCGCCCTCGTTCGCCCCCGCCGCCCCTTTGCAGCGGCCGCGTTTCAACTTCCCCGGAGCCTTTTCCCCGGTTTCGGTATAATATAATACCCTTTTTTTTTCTCTCCTACATCACCACCACCACCTCGGCCAATGAGAACGCCGGCCCGAGTGCCTTGGAGGGGTTTAGCGAAAATCGAAGACACACGGGCCCGGCAGATAAAACGGCGAACGGCATTAATTCCCTGAAGGGCTGTCCGCGTCGCCAAACGTAAATCGACTATGCACAACTTTGACCATTACGCGGGCAACGTGGACGGTCGTATAACAGCTATACTGTACAGAGGACCTGAGGAAACGGGTTAGGACTCTGGGTATTTATTTGTTTTTTGTCGCTCTTTTCTCTTGCCCGCCCCTGCCCGCCACTTCCTCGTGTTTATCAGGCGACGCTTTAATGTTTTTTTTTTTTTTTTTACACTCCCAAACGACATAAATCTCTAAACTCGAAGGAACGCCATAGTTGAGCACGGCTAGTCATATAGTAACCATACATACAATATAGCAACAAACGGAAACGCTTAAAAGTAATTGTATCGATAAAACATTAATATCCAGAGACGTTGTAACGACATTCAATGAATACCGCAGTAAAATAGTGTAATATTTCATTGTGTGTTGTGTTTTAATGTAGTATTTTATTGGTTTTGTCGACAACACTAAGGACAATTTAAGATCTCATCAATCGAGGCAGAATTCACCATAATATCTAGTTTAGATCAACGTTAAAAGAACTAAACAATTTTGGAATCAATTATCTATTCTGTAATTGAAAAAGAGCTCATTTCATTCTTTCCGGTTGGAGTCATTTGTATCTAAAAATATCATTAAATGTAATTGACTTATATTTATTGATCAATAGATAATGGCAGGCTTAGGTCCAAAACAAAAACATAGTATGAAATTTTAATAATTGCACCGAAGTTTTAAAATTTTATATGCAAAAAAAGAAACAAGTCCATTAAGTATTATGTAATTTGTTTCATCATTCTTACTTAATTATGGACACGCTGAATTTTTAAACGCTTTTCCTGGAGTATTTGTAAAATAAAGAGATTTATACCTAGACCCAACCGACGCATATGGCTTGGGAGTTTCAGGAGAAAGGGCGGGGAAAAAGGGAACGGTAGTTCGGTAGTTGTAAGGGTGAAATGGCTGAACGTGTTGTAATTAACAGAGAACTTAATAAATATTTATAAATCGATGGAGCGCATGTAAATTACAACACACTACCTCTGGCTAATAATAATTGCTGTACCCGCACAACCAGTGTATAGTAATCATAATATTATAATATTATTATCAGGTTGTAAAAATTGAATAGTGTAGACATTTTTTTTTATATAATCCGAGTCTAAATATGATTAAAAAAAAAAAAAAATTATGCCGGTTTTGTTTGTTTTTTTTCAACTCGACCTGACACATATGCTATATACATATACACCGACCGCGAATTAAAACACCGGTTAATAATAATAATAAATACACTATGTGGACTTCACCAGTAATACAACAAGTCATTATCAGGATGAAAAAAAAATCATCCAATTACCGTATTAATAGTTATTTCATCGTTGTCATTTTTGCCGTAAGCCGCACTACACTGTTACAACTTTCAGCTAATAAGAAACGGATTTATGCAACTAATCTGTTAGCAATTAAATTTCACTCTAATTCAGAGCAAAAAAACCCACAAAATTCAAAGAGGATGTCTCGGTATTGATGTCACATATCCATTTTAGGAAATATTTATAACCTTTTTGAACAAATAAAATATTAGGCCAAAATGTTCTTATGTTTTTACTTACCTTTACCTTATTATCTATACTCACTCTTAACTAACCTATTTTTTTTTGTTTACAGATGAGCTTAAATGCACTAGCAGTCATATAGTAATTATTTAAAGCCACCGAAACGATGATGAGAAACACAAGTTTTTAAGTAAAATTGTTGACTTAAAACTAATCGACATTACTTTGTTTTGATTACAGTTTATTGTAAAATACTGTAACTTATCTATGATGAAAATATATTTTTAAAATGTATTATTTTTGTGTAGGAATGTTTTAACTACTAAATTGTTGTTGTTAATGTATCAAAATTATATACCGAAGTGATTGTAAAAAAAATAAATAATTAACCTTCATAACTCAAATGGGTTGATTCTGTAGTTATTTATTAACCGTTTTAATAATATAGAACCCAGGACTAGTGTTGACTGCAAACAAATCTATGAATTGATACTTGCAAAGAGAGAACAAATAATAATTGTACTATTAAAGATTTATTATTATTTTGTTCTATAAAATGCATGCAATATTCGCTATTGTGTTCGTTCAACAATTGAATATACGGATTGAAATTTTAAATTATTTTAATCAATATTTAGTAGGAGTATCATGTGTTATAAAGATAACAGTTTTTTATATTTAAATTTTACATATATCAAGTAAATGGTTTATAGATTAAATGAATGTTTCTTAATAAAAACAAAAAAAATAGAAACAGGTTTTGGCGACGTTCGACGCTTTTAAGCCAATGTTTTACCTTTAGAGATGTACTTGAATTATGACGATTAAAATCCAATCTAACAATAAATAGTTTAATAGTTCAGAATTATTTAGAAACTTAAATTTAAAATATAAGTGTATTAATAATTGTTTTATTAGACTTTTTGGTGAAATTCTACAATGCCAAATTTGTTTTATTGTAATTTTAAAATAGTTGTACTTAGTTGAAACTTACAAATACAAATTCCCTTCTCCAACATTTTTTCATCAAATTACTACCTAAATATATAAAATATGTATTGTATTTGAAATGTCTGTGCTGATCAATTAATGTTTTGAGTGCCTTTTTTTTATTACTTCCAAAACCGTTTGGCTTTACGGGTTTGTTGCATATCCTCACTAAGACTAACGCGTGTAAAATAGAAATAATAATATCAATTAAACAACAATATACTACCACAGTGAAACGGAACCAGCCAGCAGACGGTTTAACTGAAGTCGCTTGCGACAGGGTTTCGGCAGATGTACTATACAATATATATATATATATATATAATATTATAAAATATTAAAAAAACTCTAGCAACAAAACGGTTAAGTCGTGGGGCACATCAAGCGGGCGTGAGTAGGAATAGTGGGGGAGGAGGGGGTGAATTTACTTTTGGCGGGATGAAAACAATGTTAAGTACAGTAATGTTACAACGCAGCTAAATAACAGACCATTATGCAGAGACGGTCTAGAAACGGTCGTCTCAACCGGTACTCCCCCCCAAAAAAAAAGGGGTTGCAAAATCGTCGTCTCGTATTTGCATTTAAGAAGAGACTGGTTGAGGGTGGTCGGTTTGGCTCATTATATAAGGTAGTGAGGTGCGAGAGGGTGGCCGGCCGGTAGTGGTGGTGGACGGACAGTCGGTGTGTTTGTGTGGGAAGATGACCGTTCCCGAGTTGGTGCGGTGCAGTGGCGGGAACGACCGGGAGAGGGTGGACGGATACCGTGGGAGTCGTCGTCGGCGGTTTCTGCTGGACCGGTTCGCCCGGTCTCGCCGTGCCGTGGGCAACAGCAGCCCGAAAGGTGTATAATATTAATGTTATAATGTGCATAATATTATTTAATAATATTCGCAAACCGTGAGACTGTGAAGTGTGTACAACACCACCCCCTATGCCCACCGCGCCGCGCATAATAGCCGTACACAAACGTCTAAGTATAGAATGTTACTGTATAGGTATGACTATATGTGTATTGTACAAGATTTCGTATAGTAATAGAGACACCCTCCTCTGGCCGTATATAAGCCAACAGGACGGTCCGTTTCCGTTTTTGTTACCATCCGAAGCCGGTTCAAGTCGAGTCGTCGAGCTGCGATTATTAATCGAGGAAAAGAGCGCCAAAAAAAAAATTAAGGTAAGCGTTTTAATTGTAATTAACAGTCTGCGCAGTAGTTAAGAAACTAAAACAAGACAAGACAAAAATGTATTTTACACCGAATAATGGCTGGGTAAACGAGGCGCTGTAGTACTCCTCTGGCGAAGGGGAGGTTATTTTTCGGTTGATTTTGACTTGGCCAAAGGAAAACACTAATTTTTTTAACACTATTTTCTCACAGATTTTAATTATTTATTCGGAACTTTAGAAGCGAATAAAAAAACATATTTGGATTAAAAAAATGTGTATAATAAACTACATCATAGCAGAAAAATAATATTTTTAAAAAATTGAATATTTCTAAAGCTGTTGCGTAGTAATATATTAAAACGCATCTAATTTACACAAAGCAATAATAATATCAACGTTATTACGTTATTAAAGTTTAATGCGATCTACTTGTATATGGTTTTTATTGACAATTTCTAGCTCAAAGTTTATCGTTTTTGTTTACTAAAAACCTCTACTTTTACCTATTTTAACAAGTCAAGGCATAAATAAAAACATAGATATTTTTACCTAACACTCCATAAAATAATATCGAAAAAAACATTGTATAATATAATATTCAAACTTTTTTAGTTTTAATTTATTCACTCATTTTTATCCAACAATTGTTCAATACAAACAATATTTTTAGAAAAACTTCAAAATAATTTTCAATTTAATTTATACAAGGCAATTCTAGTTTACTATATCTCTATTCTCTGCATATTTTTTTAATAATATTATGTAACTAATATAATAATTATATTATGAATTTATTATTTTTAATAGACAAAAAGATGTACCAACTCATCATTAAAGTGTAATAATTAAAAAAGTTGATTTGTTACTTTATGAGTTAGTTATAGTATGAGTGTACTATACTTATATATTTGGAAATGGTTTACAAGTTAATAACTGGACTGAAGGTCTGGAACTTTGAATAAAGCTAAAATTTAATTAGAATTTAAAAAGAATAAAAAATATACATATTTTATGTTAAATAATATTTTATGGGTATTTAGCATTTAGTTTATAATATGTACATGTTTTTTACTGGAGAGTATACATAAATGTACCTGACCTGACTTATTTACTAACTTTACCCTGTTAAGCAGATTAAACAAAACTTTTTTTTAAAAAATCAATAACGATTTAACCGATAAAGCACCATAACGATGTAAACGCATGAACATATTTTTTTTTTGCTCTTTGTTTTGAATTCATTATTTCATGTAAACATTTAAACTGAATTATATAAACTATTACCGATTTCTGTATGCAATTGTAATATATTCAAAGTTTAAAAATGATTTAAAATGAAAGTTACAATAAAAATTAAATTATGAGATAGCCCAATGATATGTATAGTATGACAAATTTCAATTTCGTTTTAAATAATTATATAGGTTCAAATTGTTTGTTAGTAAAAGATGTAAGAAGGAGAATAAAATGTTCATCACAGAAAACACAAAAATAAAAATATTTTCAACAGTATTTTAAAATTTTTAAAAACAGTTCGTAAAACATATTTTGATCAAAAATTCTGTTTCAAAAATATTATAGATATATTTAAACATTTTAGAGAAACATTTTGTGAATAATATTTTTAAAACATCGAATATGTGGCCAAAAATGTTTTTCATAATATTACAAACATTTTGGAACGTTTTCATTGTTGTGCTTTTTGAAATTGATATTAAATTGTTTTTTTGCCAACAACGTACATAGCAGTTATATAACTTGAATATGATTACTAAATAATTTCTAAATGATTTCCGCGGTTTGTTAGAAAATAATATACTCCCTGAAACTGCTATAAGTGATAACCTAATGCTTTATAAACTTTGAAGCGGTCAAACATTTATATTATTACTTAGTACTCTACGCTTAAAAATAATAAGATTTTCAATAAGGTTTATAGAACCACAACAAACAATATTGTGGGTAGGGTTTTCTAATAAATAAATATTAATCCACGAGTCACTCAAACTTAAACTGACTGTTTATGGAACCGTTGCGTTGTTCGTTTACAAGTAATCTCACTCGTTTACAGAAGTGTAAGAAAGTCTTGGAAATTTAGTATTTTTTTAAAAATAGTTTTTTTCATATCTACCAGTCTTTAATACAGAATAGAAAGCGTGCGTCACGCTGGTAACTTTTATGAGGTAAAAAAAAAAAAATGAAAAAGCACCTCTTCGTCTTGAATATCGGCATTCTCTTTTTGTACAATATCTTTAATAGTATATAGTCTTCTTAATATTCGCCTTACACTCTTGACTACACGGGGTCGGCCACTCTGGGGCCTAGTCATACACTTTCGTAGAGCTCTATCTTCTAAATCTCGTTCAATCATCCCAGTTATCCTCATATCACTCTCTATCTATATTTTCATTGGTCTTTCTCTTATCTGCCTCCACATAACATGACCGAACCATCTAAAACTGTTCTCTCTCATTTTCCCCTACAGTTGATCTTATTAATATAATATATACACATTAATACACAATATTATGAACGTCCTAGCCGATTGCCTTCGAGGTTGTCGACCTTTTAACGTGTCAAGTCGTACGGTGGACTTTCAAATCGATACCGGTGCGGCAATTACACAGAGTGGTAGGTATATAGAGTAACTGCGGATGGGACACTGTAGACCACTGCTGCCGCCTTAGGTGTATACAATTTTACAAGTTATACCGTCAGTATTCGTGTCGATTGGAGACAAACCGTAACATCTAATCAAGACCGTTCTTATATAGTCAGGAAATGGAGAAAACTGTTGTGGATTATTATTATTATTCAACGATAGCGTGGTACGACACGAGGACGGTGCAAAGCAGGATGTAAAAAACATAAAATTACTCTTGAGAGGATTTTCTGGTTGTGAGTGTGTGTGTGAGACAGAGACAGAGTACGGTACAGACGGGCAGCAAAAATGGCCGTTCGCAAACGGTCTCTGTAGGCGCCGGCGCCCATTGGTCCAGACACGCCCATTCATTCCCCACCGACAACACTGGGGTTTTACTTTTTTAATATCGAGTCGTTTTCCTGCACCGTCAGAGAATAGCCGGCGGCGGTCGAATATTGCTCAGACCCTCGACAAAAAAAAAAAAATGAAAAAGACGATGCGAAATTAACGCAGCCTATATACGGCCGAGGACTTATACAATAATAATAATTAAGGTCCTTTTCATAGCCACACAATCGTCATACTGTGTCTCGCACGTGTAGAAATGTAGAAAAAACCGTATATTATTCTTGTCATAATACCGCTACACGTGCAGCAGCTGTACAGTGTATAGGTCCGCCTTCTCCGCCAAAATATATTATATTATGATAACATCTAATTATTCAAAGCCAATTTTCATTCTATTCGTATGTGCGAGACGCCAGTTCAGTCCTGCTCCTCCTTCCCGCCGCCTTCTACCGCTTGTATACTAATAACCGACCAGGGCTGAACGCGTTTTCTTGACCATACTAAAAAATAGCGCCCAAGTAAATCACTCGCTAAGCCACCAAAATGGGCTTAATAGTGAAGATATTGTGATTTGCGAATCGTTTTCGTTCACAATAAAAACCTATACCTATACCTGTGTACATTAAGAAAAACGTAGGTATTGAGAAAATTTATAAAAAATACTGTTTAGTTATGCCATAAATTTAAGGTATTGTTTTTACAATAATGTGTTCATATAGATATTTGTTTTTTTTTTTGGCGCCAGGCCCACGACATGTTTCAAGCCGCTAAACTGATTTCTTCATGTAACAAGTCAATAGATTAGAAATCATACCTGAAAGGTAGTTTATTGGGCCAAAAATTTAAAAAGTTCACCCTGTCCCTTTAAAAAAGGAAAAAACTCCCGAACCGCGCTTACATATTTTTCTTACTTAAAATAACGGCGCGCTTTAACTTTTGAAATTTCTATGGAATATTTTTTAGACGTCGTGTTGTATAAACTATTTTTTGCTAAACCTAAAAAATATCAAAAATGTTTGTTTTTTTTTATTTCGCCTTATTAGGTGTAGTTTTACGGGTTAAGGTCTGAAAAGCGTTTTTTTAGTCGAGTTTAACTGTATATTAGTTGTCTATACAGTGCGTAAGTAATAAAAACTGTTCCGGAACACTTTAAAGTTACTAAAGTGATTAATGTAGTTGGTACTAGACATACAAATTCCTAATAAAATACTGGCACAGTGTGAATTGGTCTTAATGTTTGAACTAAACCGATTCAACCTAACCCGTCTATGGTACTACTTTAAACTCCTTGGTGCCTGTTGAGAAAAAATGCTGACTGTTCGATGAAAATGAAACATTTTTGTTAGTTTAAAGTTTATATTATAACTTTTTTTTTATATTCCTTTAAACGTCACACGGCTTAAATAACAATTTTTGTTTCAGACTCGGTCATACCATATAAGACTGCTTCTGTTGAAAATAGCATAACGGTGGCGTACCCTGTCGGATTACGGTAATGTTTTATAGGTTTTTTTTTTAGTTCTATCCAAGTACTCTTTTATGTAGCTTTTGTCTGGCAGTGTCGGTAGTCGGTGCTAGGACGGCAGAGGGGTTGGAGAGGAGAGGGCGGTAAATAACAAGTAGCGTCGGTAGGCCGAACCGTGTGACAAGATTGGCTGGCTGTACGGTTCGGGGCTCCGCCGTTTTATAGATTTTTACACCGTATCGATCCAGACGATGGTGTGCGAGGCAACGACCGTTTTTGCGAGGGATAGTGAAAGGAATATAATGTAGTGTACTCCACTGCGAACGACCGTTGCTGACTGCTGCAGTGCACTGCACACTTGGAAAGACAAGTATTGTCTAAACAAAAATACTTGCCAATTAGAAATAAAAAAAAAACAAAATTAGGTGTTACAATATACATCTAAAAAAAAACTTGAGCAACACTTGTGGTTATATATTTTATTATTTTATACAATATACATGTTGACATATTGTGTTCTATAAGCTTGGATTTCTAAGTAGTGTAGTTACACAAATATATATATTTTAAATACTTGATTGTAATACACAAAAATGTTGTGACAAAAGTGCATAAGTTAATAAGATCATTTTGAAATTCCCATCGCAAATAGGCAAATACTAATAACTCAAATACTTGTTTTGCTATTTTATTTTTATTTCTCTAGTATCTATATTAGTATAACAATTTTGAATAGTTTATCTCAAACATTTTACATTTTTACCCACGATGTATAGTTTTTAAATTATCGTTCAACTAGACACACAGTTCTATCTAAATATATGCACATATGAACATGACAAACTTATTCTTATTTTCAACAATGTAAGGCATTTGTAAAAGCAAACATTGTACAAATTTATCGAATTGTATTTTTTAGGTTTTGTATGTGCTCACAAACTAACATAAAATTGTATAAAATAATATTTCATAAGTTGACAAATTTCACTAAACAGGCGTATTGTTCTAGAGCTAAGCGCACAGTTGTTTTAATATATTATATTCTTTTTAAATGGATTTTTAGGTAGGTATTTGTCTACATTCATAAAATAAATATTAAGTTTGCAAAAAAACACGTCAGTTCAACTACAAAAAAAATGTAGAAAATTGTAAATTTTATCGTTTTAACGTTATCTTATTAATATAAATTTTCATAATAAAAATCCAAAGGTTATAATAAATCGGAAATCGACATTTTTTTCGAAACAAACTTATGATTTCAAGCTAAAGTAAATAGCACTTAGTATATTTTTTTCAGATGCCGAAGAAGTGTAAAATGTTCAGGTATTTGTAAAACGTCAAAAGAGTGTAGGGATTTATACAACATGATTTTTTTTTTACTTATGTGTTTGACAACAAAATATCTTAAAAGCGTTCGCACTTCGCATTTTGTTTTTCTTCTTTTTGCACATAATATTTAGCTTGTTGTTGTAAAAATTCAAAGCAGTAGTAAAAGCAAATAGTTGGAATAGACTAGATAATAAAATACAAGTTTACTTATTCGGTTAACATTATTTTTATTGGTAGACAGGTAATAGACATAATAATATAATTTATATGATAGGTAACAAAATGTGTTATTTGGAATATTATATTGTTATTAGAAAAATATAAAGTTTCAAACACAATAATATTATGATAAACAATAATGAAAATTTAAAAATATACACAGCTAAGTAAGCATATTTTTTTCAGAATGTGATACGGATCTTAGATATTGCTTGGCAAGTTTAATCTTCGTCACGCGGTAGTGCTAAAAAACAAAATATTTAATGATTGTGAAAACAAATTTTTTCTTTTTTTTATAATTAGCTAACACATACATTTTAATTAAAATTAGGGGTTAGGCTACCATTATAAATTATTAAGTATTCTCATAGTAGTCTCACCAAGTAATCAAAGGCTTTACTACTACTAGTATCCAATGCTTTAATCTCAAAATAATTGTGATTTTTAAATAACAAATTATTACGAAAAAAAAAAAATTGTTTAATTTAAATAAGTTCATATTTATACTTCATGAGCATGCAAAATATACCATTCATTCCATTATGCTTTTATTGGAGTCTCATATAAAGTTTTTATATCCACATAAAATTAACCAATCGGTCTACTATGCAATCTTATTTCACTTCTTAAACCAATTATAGGTATCAATTATTCTGCTATTACTAAAGACTTACCCGAATCTTCCAACACCCCTCCTAAAACATAGAATAAAATTGCATATTCAATTTTACTTTTATAGCATAAATAATTTATATCAAAATCTCAAACACTTACCATCACCGGCTGGAGCTGGTGGATCTGAAACATAGTAAAAATAACTAAAGTACTTGTTTTACCTGTTTTATTGTTAATTTTCAAGAATATATATTGATATAATACATTTTTCTAAAGCTCAAATACTTGTTTTTAATCTAAATTATTGGTACAATAATTTTTAGTTGTTGATCTAAAGCATTTGAACATGACAAACTTAATCTTATTTTCAACAATGTAAGGTATCTGTAGCACTCTATACACATTTAGAGCTCTATTGAAAATATTTTTAAAGCTGCTAGTATCTTTGTAAAGCACAAAAACTGATATTATCATCTAAATGTACAGTTATTCGAAAAACGAATAGTACAATTGCATATTCAATTTTACTTTTATAGCATATAAATAAGATATATCAAAGTCTCAAACACTTACCATTACCGCCTGGAGCTGGAAGATCTGAAACATCAAAAAATAAATCAAATAATTGTTTTTCCTATTTTATAACCTATATAAGTTTCATTTAAGTCTTAAAAACTTACCAGTCGGTGGTGGTGGTTGTGGTTGTCCTGGCATTTGTACTGTTGGAGGTCGTGGTGCTACCTGTGGATCTGCAACATCAAAAAATAAATCAAATACTCGTTTTTCATATTTTATCGTTATTTTTGAAGTACCTATATTGGTATAATATCATTTTGAATCGTTGGTCTGAACCATTAAACTTTGTTAGCTACGCATTATGGTTTCTAAATAATTTTTCAAAATAGACACACAATTTTATATAATAATATGCTCAAGACATAGCGAATGTATTCTTTTTTACAACAATGAAAGGATTTTTTTACACATTTTAAGCTCTTTGAAAATAGTTTCAAATCTGCTAGTATTCTTGTAGAGGACAAAAACTGATATTATTATCCAACTTACAGTCAGTTAAAAAAATAAATAATACAAATGTATATTTAATTTAATTTGTATAACTTATATAAGTTTTATCAATGTCCCCAAGACTTACTTTGTGGGTACACAAATGCTCTTAGTCTCTCTGAAACAATGAAAAAATAACTCAAATACTTGTTTTCTTATTTTATTTTTATTTTTCAAGTACCTATATTAGTGTAATAACTGTATGATAAAAATGTATTTCAATCTCACTTCTATAACTTATATACTTTTTATTAAAGTCTCAAAGATTTACCAATTATGTCTTGCAATTGCTCTGCTGTTGGCCCCTCTATTGGTGTCGCTGGTGGTGGTGGTGGTGGTGGTGGTGGTGGTGGTGGTGGTATATTATCTGAAACCACGAAAAAATAGTTGAAATACTTGTTTCCCTATTTCATTATAATTTTTAAAATGTTTTATTTGTACTTTGACCTAATCTTCAGTTAGTTCTTAACTAATTGTATTATATTACGAATAAACATGGTAGAGTTATTCTTATATTTAATAGTGTAGAGCATTTATAGCATTTTATACACATTTTAAGCTTTATCGAAAACCAATTAAAAAGACTTACTTTCTTCTTGCTGGTTATCTGAAAAAATCGAAAGAAATTATTTATATAACCTATTTGTAGCATTTCATACACATTTTAAGCTTTATCGAAAATAATCGTCCAGGCAGTTTAACTTATAATCATTTGAATCCCGTTTAATACAAATAAATAATTATATGTATTCAAATTCACTTTTATAGCTTATATAAGTTATTACAAATAACTCAATTACTTACTCTGTCTATCAACGTCTGAACTGGTCGGGATATCTAAAATGTTGAAGAAAAGAACTTACAGTCATTTGAAAAACGAAAAAATAAAAAAATGTATATTAAATTTCACTTGAATCAATTATATAAGTTTTATCAAAGTCTCGAAGACTTACCAAGTTTTTCCGGTACCCTCTCTGAAATATCAAAAAAAAATTACTTAAATAATTGTTTTTATCCCAATGCAATATTTATAAATTATATATATATATATATATATATATATTAAATATGAGCCAAAAGCGTTTAATTTTATTATAGCCACGAGTTATATTTTTAAAATACTATTATTACTGGATATACAAGGTATATAATATAACTAGCTGAATTTGAAACGGGTAAATATACATTAAAATAACCACTATATTAGTATTCCCAGTTAGACGCAGTTTTTTTTACGGAAAATGTATCTGTACCGAATTTCGCATTAAGATTTTGGTTGTAATAATTTAACTAACACCTATATGTAAGATACGGGCACAGTATTAAACAACGAAGACGTGATAGAATGCCACGTCGACACAGATGCGTACACGTCACCCACGTAGAGCCTACACGTCACACGATATAGAGCCGCAAGACTGCAGCTGTTTTTGCCTATTTAAACCCCTTAAAATCAAAATTATTCCAAATCCTTTCTTATTGCACACCTAGACTATATAATACAAACGTACCCTGAAAATTTCAAGTCGCTAGCTATCATAGTTTAGGCTGTGCGACGATTATGAATCAGTCAGTCAGGACTTTTTCTTTTCATCAATAATGTGAGGCATGAGTAACATTTTAATTATTAATTAATAATATTCATACAATTTTATTTATGTCTATAGTCGTTTTTATCAGCGGGAATTCAAAAAACGTATTTTTATATTTATCTATCATTCATTTATTTATTTACAACAGTACCTATCAAACATTGCTAAATTTTGCGTTTTCTACTTGCTAGCTAATTTGGGGTAACACTTGTCTACTAAAATATTATTATAAAGGTAGATGAAATAGTTTAAAACTGCTATTATACTTATCATTTGTAAGTTTAAAGATATTATCACCCAACTTACTTTTACCGAAAAGCGTCATTGAAATAAAACCAGCGAATAAAAATAGAACAATTTAATGCGTGAACTTACTTCCTTCAACACCTGAAACATGGAAAATAGATTTGTATAATATATAAATTAATTAGTAAATAAATGAAAAGTTTTAAATTTAATTGATATTTCTAAAAAAATCATCAGGTTACTAAAAAATCAAGACATCAAAACTTGACACTTAGTTTAATTTTTTTATTATTCTTATAACATTTGTATATTAATTGTTTTTCATGTACTTGTAGACACCGCCAGAATAACGAACAGTGCGGCTGTTGGTAGCAAAATTATGCTATTAAACTTCATATTTAAAACAAAACAAATCTTGAATAGCAACTTAAATAAGAATATTAAAATACTAAATGCAATATGAATTTTCGGATTTAAAGTTAAAGTGAAACACCAAGGAAGGTGAACGCTATACTATACTAGTACATATACTATACTATACTAGAGTACGTGTCTTTCTTACGTTTACAGTACTGACAACGAACGGTGACGTGTAACTCATGTTAGTTTTACAACTATTTTTCATTTTCAATACTTCAACACTTACATATGTTTACCTTGAATTCAATACACCGACGATGAGCGTTGGAATGTGCCTTTTTCGTGTTCAATTTTACAATGTGAACTTAATAATTTTCTATACCGAATTGCACTGTTTAATTTCGATTCATTCGACAAGTGTGTGGTGGTATTGCGGATTTCCAAACGTACTTAGCTAAGGTCATTGATCCGCCAAATAGGCTGTCGAGTTAGCTAAAAAAATATTTGAAATCTCAAACGTCCAACTTTAAAGTTATCCGTGTGCCATAAACGACACTTATTTTAACGATTAATACAACATAATCCCAACAGTAACAAGAAAAATAACTCATAGTACAAGTTTATACATTTGTCATAGAATCTTTTCTATAAAGCTAAATTGGTAGCTTAAGAGAATCATGTTCTTATTATAACATGAGTATTGGTGTTGTACTTAAAATGTATTTTACAACACACAAATGATTATAAGCAATATGTAAACAAAAATGATGGGAATTAGTTTGTGATGCTATTAAAAGTTAAAAAAGGAATAATTATAACTTTGGTTTTTTTTAAACAGCCTGTAAATATTATTTATTAGTTGTTACTTTTTTTTTATTATAAGACAAAATTATATCTATAAAAGGAAATACAATTTATAAATCATATTATAATACTAAAAAGACAATAACAAAAGTTTAGGAAAAACAGTGCGTTATTTAAAAAGAAATTAATTTTAGCTAAAAAAAAGCACAAAGTAATTATAATTAAAATATATACATTTTAATAATTGGAAAGAAAAGTAAATGTGTATAAATTTAAAACAAATGTTAAAATATTTTATTAATTATGTAATTTATTTTTATTTGAATTGTTATTTTAATGATTAAAAACCCGTTGTTACATAAGATCAAGTAAAAACGCTTTGTTCTTTTTATTAGGTTTGATTAGATGATAATGAACACTTCCACTGACTTGGCTTGATATTGAAATATAGTTTAGCCTATAATTTTAGTGTTTTTACACTAAATTTGATATTAATAGTTAAATAGAGGAGAACGGCTACCAAAGTATTTTACTTGATTATGAAAATAATTGTTATTAAAAATATGTATAAACTTGTTAACGTTTTATTTAGTCGTACACACAACTATTTAAACTGCTTTTTATCTGTCTCTTAAATTTAACAAAAGCTCGCTCTATGGCTAATAGATAACAAGAGAAAATAATATATGTTCTAAAAAGTAAATAGACGAACTAGTTTTATTCCTTGCTTGTTTAGAATTCACTCAAACTTAAATCAATTCTCATAGCTATTTCAAATTAGACTTCCATTATATGAACACTGCTTTACGTTTAAAACTCAACGCATCACTTAGATAGATTTGCGCCTATAATAGTGTACCTTAAGTTTGTTAATAGTTTAGATTAAATAAATTACATTGTTTGCCATTTACACCAGTTGACCTAGTGTTGGCTTTGGCATTGTTTCTTTGTGACGTAACACAAAATATATGTTTATAAAAGAATGCACCACTTGGCTCAATGCAATAGTGGTCAGCTTATGAGGATATAATTGACACTTACTTATCACATGTTTATAACCTTTGTAAAGTCCACATACTATCCCTATGACTGAGGATTCGAGTGATAAATAAGGATTATTACAGCGATAAGACTGAATGATGAGGATCATATTTTCTTTTTAGCTTTTAACTGCCACACATAGACAAACTACAAACAGCTACAGACGATTATTGTTGTACCGAAATTAATACCAGAAAAGGAATTGAGCTACAATATAAATCTAGCAAACGGACGACGGTTGTACATTTTCTTGACAAATTTAATGTACTCTATTTGTCCGTTTGTTAATTTGTTATTTAAATCATTATGCGCAGTGAAATTATGAAAGCTTATTTTCTTCTAATCCCGTCCACTCGCCAGCACCGCTACTATATCTATACATCTGAACTCTTTAATAAGCAAAACCGGGTATGTTTCCTCGAGGTCACATATATAGGTTAGATATATATATTTTAATGTCCGTCTGTCTTTTTTTTTTTAATTTTTATACACGCCCAGAGCTAACTTGTGGTTAATCGCAAAGGATTTATTATACACTCGCTTTTTACTAATCCTGCAATGAACATATTATTAAATGTATCAAACAGCGGGATACATTGCTTAAAAAATTCACGATGAGCTGTGACACAGTCTTTGCACTTGTATTTTTTGTTATATATATAAATTAACGGAATATTAATAATTGCTTAGTACTTACATTAACGCGAGGTAAACGTTTTTTTTTTTATAAATAATATAAAATATTCTTTAGTATTTAATTTACACGCTTTTGTAAGAACTTGTTTTTTTGTTATTTCATTAGATACAATCTGTATTGTTGTAGGTATAGGTATTTTCATCAATAACACGCTTTTTTTAATTACTTAATTAAAAAAAAAACCCACATCGAAGCTAAAAATCTAACCTATGCTATTATAACTCCAAAACAATATCTCACATTAAATTTATTTGTTTTACACTACACACACAAACATTTGTAGATAACGTTGATTACACTTAATGGTGTATTGTGTAGTTAGCTTAGGTAATTTAGTATTAATTAATTGTTAGTATAATTATACAAGTTGTAATACAAAAGTAAATAATGTAGTATAGTAATTAGATATTTTTACTTTAAGTAATGCCTATCTTTGTCAGTTGTAACGATTAGTAGCATAGCTTAAAGTAATTTCCTTAAAGTCTTATACTTTGATCATACAGCACTTATAGAAGTTCAAAAAATTATTTATTACTCTTTTGCTCGCTAGTGTCTTGTGGCAATAAGCAAAATATGTATTGTTTATTGTATGTCTTAATCCGTTGCTTAAAACAGTATCACATTATAGCTTGTTTAGTCAAGTCGACTCTTGAATACATGAACATAGATTGTTTTGGACTATTAGAATGTATAATAAATATATACTTCTTTTTAAGGAATTTTTTCAATTTGCATTGGTTTCCGTGTCTAAGTTAAACATGACCGTGTTTAACATTGTGTACTTTTTTACAGTGTTTACCTTGGCCATGTTATGTGCTTGCACGCTTAAGTATAACCTACAGTTACATACATATATTCATGTCGGGGTAATAACGTGTAAAGTACCTTTACCTAGATTTCTGGACTCGTTTTACATTTTAGAGGTACACTGCACACAACACACCCCCGCGGGCTACACACATAACGGTAATAATTTATTCGGTCGCCTTTTGCAAAAGCCGCTTTGTACCTGCCCTGAGCTTATATGTATGTATATACCATCATCATCGGCCGTATAGCTGTTGTAGGTATAATATTATAATATAACCTGACCATCGTATACGCTCTTTGTCGAGAGCTCGAAGGGATGTGGTGTTGCCAACGGACGAGAGGGGTCGGTCCGGGAATTGTGTAATTTACAATTCTAATTATTTCGAAAATATTATTATTATACATATAAGACAGACCTCTATGCGAAGGCAGAGGCGCGGCTGCATCGGTCCGGTGCTCACACGATTTTCGTGCACTGGCTTCCTGCACGCATGTAGATTATTCATACGAGTACACGCATTGCTAAACACTTGCCTTTACTTTTATATACATATACAATTATATATATACATACACAATTATAATATGACCAAGAGAAAACGCGCATTGTTGCAGTGAACGCGAGTGTGTCGGCCGAGACTTGCAGGTCGTTTCATATAGCATAATATTATGTATGTACATTGTACACACTTCCTGCCCAAAACGCCATTTCTTTTTCGCCGGATCGTTTGTATATTTGTTAACAGTTAGTCCAATCAACGGCCCCGTAAAAACTTATCAGCAGCTGTATATTTACTTTTAGATATTATCGGTGTTGTGTAACAACTACTTTTTAGAAAAATATTTAAGATGCTACCCAAATACATGACAAATATCGATATAACAACTAGGTACTATTACTAATAAACGTACCAACATAACTATAACTAGGTACCAACTAGGTCTTAGAACAAAACTCAAAATAAAATGTCGAACTTAAAAAAAAAAATTAAATAATTGTTCAGGACGTTGCAGAATTTTTTTAAGGAGTTACATAACATCTCTGTCAATATTATGCTTTACTGAATTTTACTGTACAAAGAGCGATCACACTGCACGCTGAAAACACAATTTTGACTATGTTTACTTGTAGATTAGACCTAGCTTAGACTAGACTATATTTGTGTTGTTGTAATAGTAAAATGGCATAGTATTTGTTGGGGATAATATTATTGTATTGGTAGCATTTTTTATAGTCACATTATCACTGAAAACATCACCGTCAATCACCTTATCGCTAAACCATTGATCTATCATGATAAATAAAAAATATAACATTTAAACAACTTCTAGTTAAATAAAAAATAGAGAAGTTTTAAAAAAAAGAGCACAACGTGTAGGCG